TTGTTTTGTTGGGTCAATCATTTAGTTTTGAGCTATGTGCTTGCTATAGTTTTTTGACATCAAACTTATTTGCACCAATCTATCAACGTATGCTAACATAAAAGAATAATACAAAGTCTAGCGTCCAATCCGTAGATGCAGACACTCGGCAACTTTTTTTAGGCTAGGGTTGAGACATCGGTAGCTTAGATGCACGTGAGTTTATTCTTCTCTCAACAAAAAAAAAAGATGCACGTATTGCTCTACTCTCTCCTTTTGGCTCTGTACATCGTATCGTTGTTACCTTCAAACGAAATTTGAAATTATTTTTTTATTCATAACATATATGTAGGTAGTACGTGGAGACATATTGTACAAAGTTGATGATAACGCTGTCATGACTTTGATCTGTTGGGAGTCCCGGCATCTTGAGCTTTGCATTGGATGTGTTGCTATCCCGCCTTCGATTCACCGGCCCACGTGCCTCCAACGTTGCCACGTATAGATTTGTTGTTGCCATGCGTAAGATCTCGAGGACGTGTGGCGATGCAGTATTCACTGATGTACCTCCCACATTGCCGCGTATAGATGTGTTGTTGTTGCGCCTTTGATCTCCGGGATGTGCGCTGGTGGCGTTGAGTGTTCGACTTTTCGCCAATGTGCATCCGACATTGCCGCGTCTAGATTTGTTGTTGTTATGCCTGCAATCGACGTGTGGCGGCGGCCTCAAGTGTTCGCCGATGTGCTTCCGATATTGCCGTGTACAGATATGTTGTTGCTATATGCGTTCAATCTTCTCCGGGACGTGCCACGGCGGCCTGGAGTGTTCGCCGGGCTGAGGTGTGCAGTTCTCAGCTTACACGTTTGTATTCTTGCTGGAAATCAAGTTGTTTGTGTGTTTAATTAAGAAATACATCAGGTTAGTTGTGCGTGTTCCAGTTAGAAATCAATCAGGCCTCCTTCCTTATTGGACGTATTCTTTACGGAGATCAGTCAATCGTACTATGTTTGACGGGTCGTCTGTTTTGGTCTGGTACATGTACGTCTGTTTTGGTCTTGTACATGTACGTGTAATGCACGTGGTTCAAACATCTATGCTGTAATTTTCAAAAAAAACATATATGCTGTAAATCTCCACCGTTGTTTTTTCTTAACTTTAGAACAATTAATCTTAACCGTTCGTTTTCTATCGTTTTAATTATATAATAGATAGATGTCAGATGTCGAGCAAGAACTGCATCACACCTCCACTCACCATTTTTCTCCTTGAACAGTTTTCTCCATGGCATCTGATGAGCAGGAAAAAGAGTTGTCTCGCATAAACAATAGCTAGGTGGCCCGTCAACCCCGCCGGTCACGAGCCGAGGAGTGGCGAGTTGCTCCAGGTCGACACTGAGAGGGACCACAGTGGCACGGGCATCATGGCTGCCATTGATGGTGCCATGTTGTACCGCCCCTCCCGTGCCTGTGAGCGCGTCATCCGATGTCAAAGCGCGTGTCACCG